CTTTAAAGTTAGACTGCTTACACCATAGAGCATTTTTCTTATTATTTTCTAGTGTGTCTCCTGCCATGTATCACAGTATTAAGCAAAATCTGACTGTCTCAGAAATTATTCAATGCATGTTCAATTTGTTTCACAGTGATAGTGTAGCTACCACCACAAGAATGTCTAAAGATTTCTTTTCTTCTAGGATAAAACCAGGGGTTTCCATAAGTGAACATTTAATACCTTTAAACAAAATAAGAGCTGAGCTGCATTTAAGGGGGGAGGTGATCTCAGACCAAACAATGAAAAGTGTTATCATCAACTCACTTGACCCATCATGGGACAATTATATGTCACATTTAGACACAGTCAATCTTGGTTATTTGTCCATAGAAAGTCTATCCAATAAGTTAATAACTGAAGACAATTCAAGGAAGAGCCGCTCTAACAATCACATAGAACACAAACCATATAGAAAAGTAGTTTTCCAAGAAAGATATAATGAAACATTCAGATGCCACAATTGTGGATCCAGGGAACACAATAGAAGAGATTGTCCCAAAATTACAAAAGAAAGACATAGGTCAGAACACAGAAACAAATACATTCATAGACAGTCTTCCATTGATAGACATAGATATAGGAGCCCACCTAATTACAAAGAATATAGAGGGGGTAGAGATAATTCAAAGGACAGAAAATCTGGTTCACTAAATGGACTAAACAAGCAAGACAACGCTAACATACAGCAAACTGAGGATAATAATTGGCTTATTGATTCTGGAGCAACCAATCATACGACTAATAATAAAAACATACTATCTTCATTTATAGAAGATAAATTTGTAATAAAGGTAGCCAACCAAGAAAAGGTCCAAGTATTAGGAAGAGGAAATGTAACCTTGCCTGGTATAGGAAAAATAGAGGGGGTATTACTGATACCTGAGATACCTCATAACATATTAAGTGCCATAAAATTAAGCAGAGATTCTGATATTAATATTGTGTTTTCAAAAGGAAAAGCAACTTTGGAGAAAAATAAAACAGATGTAGGTACAGTAATGATTAAAGGAGGCCTACCTTATTTAATAACTAAGGAGAAATGGTTACACAACATTGATTCAAATATGGAAGATTGTATTGAACCAGATAATGAAAACATTAGCAACAGTGACAATGATGAATGTAAAATAGCTCATGATAACAAGGATGCACATAATGAGAAAAAACCAAAAATAGGTAAGCCAATTCATGATGAGTGTGCTCATGTCTTACATAGGAAGTTAGGACATGCCAGTTTTCCTGTAGTACAGAAAATGACTGAACACGCAGAAGGTGTCAAAATAAAAAATTGTGAAAACTATTTGGAATGCTCAGTATGTAAATCTACAAAACTAAAAACTAGCCCCAGGCCTAGAAAATCTACAAGGTCAACTAACAAGATTTTTGATTTAGTACACATGGACCTGGTTGGTCCACTGACTCCATCAATCATTTATAAAAAACGTTACTTCTTAACTATTGTGGATGACTATAGTCGCTATGGATTTGTTTACACATTAAAACACAAAGATGAAACCTTTCAGAAATTTAAAGAGTTTTACAAACGCGTAGAAACACAACACAATATCAAAATAAAATAAATAATGACAGATAGGGGATGTGAATTCATGTCTAAGGAATTCTCCCAATGGTTGAAGGACAGAGGAATGTTACATTACACATCTAGCCCATTTTCTGCGTTCCAGAATGGAATTGTAGAGAGGAAGAATTCAACATTACAAACCATGATTAGATGCACATTGGAAGATGCTGGCTTAAGCAAGCAATTCTGGTCAGAAGCCCTACAATATTCCAATTACACACAAAATAGAACCTGGTCCAGCATTGTGAATAAGACACCATATGAAGTGATGTATAATAGAAAACCAAAACTAGCACACATGCACATTTTTGGAGTCACCGCAGACGTACACATACCTAAACAATTAAGAAGAAAGGGAGAAAATGTGTCTAGAAGACTTAGATTTATGGGATATGAGACAGGTACAAAAGGATACAGATTCATTGATAATAATAACAAATTTATAGTTTCCAGAACAGCTGTGTTTCACGAACAGGCCAACTGGTCTAGAATACATCTTAATGAAATATTCCCAAACAGCAACACAGATACAAAATCCCAAGAGAAAAGAACTATAGAAAAACAAAATGACAACAAATATAAAAACAAAACCAAAACATGGACAGTCAACACAAAATAAAGACAGATACATTAACAAAAAAGGAAGCAAGATATTTGCATGACAATAATAGTAAACCCGAGAAGCCAATTAGAAACACTAGAAACCAAATGCCAAACAAATATAAAGATTATATAATGCATATGGATGGAGAAACCATGACACCTAGCACATATAAGGAAGTGTTAAAACTTCCTCCTAAAGAAAAAGAAAAGTGGGAATTAGCAATGACAAAAGAGATGGAAAGTTTACAAGGATTAAATGTATTTACACCTGCAATTGCACCAAAGGACAAAACAATTATTGGCACTAGGTGGATATATAAAATTAAAAATTTAGAGGGAGGTAATACTCTATACAAGGCTAGATTAGTTGCACAAGGTTATGCACAGAAATATCCAGAGGACTATACTGACACTTACTCCCCCACAGTAAGAACTGAAAGTGTAAAAACGGCTCTAGTTGTAGCATCGGCACTCAATCTCGATGTATTCCAGTATGACATACAGACTGCGTATTTACACGCAAAATTAGATAAGGAAATATATGTAAGGGCACCTCACAGTCAATATACAAATAAGAATGAGATTTGGTTATTAAACAAAAGTCTATATGGGCTAAAACAATCTGGTAAACGATGGTATGATTGTTTAGTAAAAGTACTTAGAACTATGGAATTCAATGCTACTACTGCTGATAATTGTTTCTTTGTTAAAAAAGGTAATGATTACATAGAATTTGTATTGATCTATGTGGACGACATTTTATATATAGGTAATCACAAAGAAAGAAGAGAAACATTTGTAACGAAGTTAAATGAACATTTCTCATTGAAATCCTTAGGTAAAGTAAATAAGTATCTTGGTGTTCAAATTAGTAAAACAAAAAGGGGATTCAAGCTTTCTCAGAAAGATAAGATCACAGAACTTTTGAACAAATGTAACCTAAATGATGCTAAACCCTGTGACACTCCAATGCAAACTGATTTCCTAAGAAATGCTGATGAATCATCCCCTGAATTCAAAGATAACACGTTCTATAGATCAATCATAGGTTCACTTCTTTACATTTCTAATTGGACAAGACCTGACATCGCTTTACCCCTCAATTTATTGTCCAGACATGTCAGCAAACCAACTATGTATCATTGGGAAGCTGTTAAAAGAATATTAAGATATTTAAAAAATACATTAGACTTTTGCTTAATGTTAGAACCTAATAATATCAAGGAACCGAAACTCACATGTTACGCAGATGCAGATTGGGCTGGAGACACTTCATGCAGAAAAAGTACATCTGGTTACTTATTTCTCCTAAACGATTGTCCAGTTTACTGGTACACTGGCAAACAAGATTTAGTGGCCACTTCAACGACAGAAGCGGAATATGTTTGTTTATCTAAAGCAGCAAATAACCTTGTATGGTTTAATGATCTAATTTCTGATGTTTGGAAAAAACCTGCCCTACCTTTTGTCATGCACGAAGACAATAAAGCAGCCATTGAAATATCTAGATCTGACGCCATTGGACAGAGATCTAGACATATAGACATAAAATTTAAACATGTGAGGCAATTATCTCAAGATGGATTTATTAAGGCAGTGCATTGTGAGACATCAGAACAGTTAGCTGACATATTGACAAAGCCTTTGCCATCTAAACAGCATAAATATTTGACTTCCAAATTATATGTATTATATTGTTCTGAATCTGAATGTAATAAATGTAGCATATCGAATCGGCATTTAGAGGGGGATTTGTCACAAGTAAATGCCTTATTCTCTAATGTGTAAATAGTATATGAAAGGGATATCAGGGGTTAATTTATTCTTCACTTCTTAATGTATTCATACTTCACCACTCCCATACCTAGCTCCACCCATTGTATATATAAGGAGCTGCACACACTCTCTTCTTTGCTTCTATCTGTGAATATTCAGTGAATATAGAATGCCTTATGTAAATAAAAGAAAATATATTTGAACTCTGAACTCTCTTATAACTTATTGAGTCTGATCCTGAAAATATTGCAACAGTACCAATAGTAATAAGCCCCTTGGGCGCAATCTCAAAACATCTAAAGCACCATGGTTTGGCATGACCAAACCAACTAATTGCAAAAGGCAACTTTAAAACATCTTACACTCTGTGATGATATCTTTAACACCATCAAACAACATCTGCTATCCCAGATCCTTGAGAAGGGCTTAATAGGCAGATAAAAATGCTAAATCTAATCTAAACAACTTGCTGACTGTGTGACAAACCATAATAATGATATATGCCACTGACTCAGCAAATCCAGGCAGTTTACAAATTGTTAAAAACATTTAAAACAAATTTAAAAAAACCCAGCAAAGATAGCAGAGTTAACATACATGGATGAGAATAAAGAAAAAGGGGCTTGAGTTACACTCACCAAAGGCCTGGACAAATATTTTAAGGGCCCTTCAAAATATCAGTTGGCTGGGCCATTCAAATCTTGTGAGGAACCACATTCCAGAGGGCAGTTGTTGGTACAGAGAAAGGCATTCTTCTGGGATGTTTATAGATGTGATCGTTGAATCAATGCCAGATCGGATTGGCTGGCAGATACTATGGGAGAAAATGAAAAACATGAAAAACTCATGCTTGACTAGGTTGTGTATGTTTATGGAATAATCACCATGTAGAAACTTGTCTTAATATGTTACTTATCTCTTCCCAGAGTTGAGAAGTTTTTTTCTGCATGTTGTAAATCTAACAGTCTGTGCATTCCATTATTTTTCCTTTCAGTGGCTATGATATTCCTCTGAATCCTTTACAGTTCCTGCCCTTTTATGCTGGCTCTCGCTTTCATGACTTCCATCATATGAACTTCACTGGAAATTACTCTTCAACCTTCACATGGTGGGATAAACTCTTCGGAACTGATTCGCAGTACAGTTCTTACCTAGAGAAAATGAAGAAACAGAAAGACACAGTGGAAAAGAAGCTGGAATAAATTTCCCATTTGCAACACTCTTTGGAGCACCAAAGAGGGACATGGCCTCGTATTTTTGCTTAAAACTAGAAAACGTAATAAGTATTGCAATTCAAAGCAAAATGCAGCTTTTAACAAACAAACCAAGCTTATGTTTGCAGCAGGAAAAACATTCACTGATGCATTTTCCAAATGATTGTGCTTTTTCTATCCTATAGATATGTCAAACAAATACAATATATATTTAAGAAAATGTTAAATATGACCAAATGATTGAAATTATGTAAAAAAAATAGAAGTACATTAAAATTAAAATAAGGGAGGTTTTTTGCATTAATATGAATCCTAAAGTTTAGAAAGAACAGCTACATTGAGTTCACCAATTAAAACTTTTGTGGGAATCCTCTTTCCCAATTAGGTAGATTTAAGAAACCATCTTAATTTGTTACAAATAATATTTTTACTTGGTTTTTAATGAATGTTATTGTAATCTGTATTACACATAACTGTAAATTGCTGATTTGATTATTAAGCTAATTTGTCTTAAAATATCTGTGATTTATTTCTTTGTCATGTTTTCTCTACGGCAAATAAAATAATATTGGGGTTCAGGCTATTATTTCCTGATTCCTTTTGGTTTGTTCCTATCAAACAATAAGTGCTATGTTTTTGTTAATACACAGTGGCAGGTATTGATAACTGGAACAGAATGTGTATGGGCACTGAAATTTGATAGTGGAGACTTTAGATAACTAACCATCTATATTACATACAGTCAAAACTATCCCTAGAGATGTACATGAGGAAACCATAGGAACTTCCTTAGATTATATTGAATACTTCTTGGCCTTTCTGACTTACTAAGGAAAACATTAAATTGTATAACCTGCTTAACCGGGATTCTATCTTTTAGAAAGCCATAAACTTTTTTTTCTTAAAGACATCTGCTGCAGAAATTGGGTGGGGTATAGCTTTATGGTTTTCGGGCACTGAAGAGTGTTTTTGTGCCAGCATTTTCCACTTCTGATGTCCCCTCAAAAACAATGCTTATTCTATTTTTTTTTTTTTTTTACTTGAAATGTAATAAAAGTGATTTATAGTTTAAAAGATTATGCATATGGAAAAAGCTGCTGGGAAAAGCATTTTATTTACACAAATAAAGTAAAAAGAAATTAAATCTGAATATTTTTAATACAAAAGGATTGGCTGGGTAACTGCATTTCCTTGCAGGAGTCGTTTATTTTACAGATGTTTCCCCCCCTCCCCCAAGATGGCAGGATGCCACTGCAAGCCTCCTTATCTCTTCCTTCCTGTGCTGTTTCAGATAGTGAGTTATAGTGAATTAGTTACCTTAAGAATTAAGAGCTGTCTCCTTAAGAGATTGCATTGTGGGAGATGTAGAGAGAGATTGCATTATGGGAAATGTAGTCCATGACATGGGACCACCCTTCGCCGCCCTTCAAGAATTTGTTGCCCACATGTCGAAGAAGTACAATGAACCACGAAATAAAAACCTTACAATACAAAGAACCTCTGCCAGCAGAAGAACCAACCAAAGCCTTGGTCCGATCAAGAGCCCAGGCCGCAAGAGGAAAAGCCTCTGTGTCAGTGCATAGCACAGAGGTCGTCCCCCTGTCAACGAGGAACTCCGATGTAAAGCCGTCTAAGAGAGCTCTACATCGACCTCAGAAAGCAAAGGAAGAACCCGTCTGTCCACTGCACAAGACCTCACACACTCTGAAGAGGTGCAAAGAATTCCGAAAGAAGTCCCTGGACAAAAGAAAGGCATTGATCAGGGAGTACAAAGTCTGCTTCAAATGCTGTGAGTCTACGGACCACATGTCCAAAGCTTGCACAGTTAAGGTACTATGTTATCTATGCAAAAGTGACCAGCACCCAACCACCCTGCATCTAGACAGCAAGTCGACACCAGAGCTGACTCCTACTCCACGGTCAACTTCTACCTCTCCTACAACTAATGAGTTTCAGCACGACAATGAAACGCACCCAGATACGACAATGAGTGTCAACTGCATGTCGGTATGCGGCGACTCACCATCCCTTCGCTCATGTCACCAGATCTACCTAGCTAAAGTCTATCCAGTTGGACACCCATAGTGGACATGCAGAGCAACCAATTGTTAGCCAAATCAGCTTTCTTCAACCGCTTTGACATTCAAACCGAAGAAACACACTTCACAATTTTGACATGTATTGGGTTACAGCACACAGCAGGGAGGAAAGTATTGGGTTCTGCATAGAATCAATAGATGGGAGTGCTAAATTTACTTTGCCATTACTGCTAGAATGGGATGCTTTACCAGGTGACCGCAGTCAAATCGCGACACCAGAAGTAGCAAGCAATATACCTCACCTGAGACACATGGCTAATCTCTTCCCTGCCCTTGACCCTGAAACTGAAATCCTGCTCCTGTTGGGAGTGGATGCCCCTGAAGCTTTCCCTCCCCAGGCAGTGGTCAAAGACTCAGCAGGCTCTCAATGTGCCCTCAAGACAGAACTTGGATAGGCCATCATAGGACTGGTTCGTATGGACCGGCTATGGGAACCCCCCCCCGCTGACTTCTACCAAGCAGTTCTACACCAGATCAGTCACCGACCTGTAACTGCTGCGAAGGAAGAACTTAAACACTGAACCTCAAGCTTTGCATGCCTTGTATCTATCTCACTGCTTGCATTGTTTGATGATATAACTTTGCTTATCTTAGTCAATTAGATAGTTAAGTCTTAATTGTTTGATGCTATAACCTTGTTTACTTTAGTCACTTAGATAGTTACATTGCATTGTTTTCTGCTATGCCTTTGTTTATTTCAGTTAAGTAGTTAGTTGGTAGTGGAATTTTATAATTCCAGGCGGGGAGAGTGATGTTTCAGATAGTGAGTTATAGTGAATTAATTACCTTAAGAATTAAGAGCTGTCTCCTTGAGAGATTGCATTGTGGGAGATGTAGAGAGAGATTGCATTAAGGGAAATGTAGTCCATGACATGTGACCACATATGTGTGTCTGATTGGCCACTGAGGCTCTCTGCCTGGGTGCAGAACAAAGACCTGGCCATTTTGAACTACCACAGAAGAGAGGAGCATGCTTTTTGAACAGGAGCATGCTTTCTGAACAGGGGGTAAAATGACTACTGTCATTTTACACTAGGAAATGGGATAGATTATGAAATACTTGGATGAATCTCACCTTGACTCACCATGATTGTAAATCTGTTTGAGGATACCCGAAATAAATATAATCTGCATGAAAACCTGTTTGCTAGAGTTTATCTGCCTGTTCCCAATGGAGCCAGATGCCTGGGGAACAGAACATGGGTGGCTTACAAAAACAAGCCCATCAAACATAACCCTCCAGCTCCATGGTTAAATTGTTAATCCCACTTACCATTAATAATAGTAGAATTCATCTATCACGTTTGCTGATATTTGTTTGTTTATGCTCATGGTGTATATAGCATTATGCACACTTTGTAACATGCTCAAATGTACTGAAACAAAAATGATAGGGTGTTCTAAAAGTCTTAATATAGTTCTGTACTAAGACTTTGGGATAACCCTGTATTTAAAATAGGATTTATCCAGCCACTGCCATGATTCCAGTCTTTAACCTTATTATGTATTACATCTTTCAAAAGGAAGACCTAATAGTCAGTCTTATTTTCCAAATGTAGTGGCCTTAGTTTAGAAATTATGTTGGTAGCTGCACACAAAGTCCAGTTGGCTTTATAAATGAGATTTCCACATTTTAAATGACATTATTCTTTCATGGACATGAGCTGTATATTCTAGCAATTATAACTAGAAAGAAAACTATTTTGTGTTTCCTGAATCTCTATAAGGATAAAATGCTTCCTTTTTCTGTTGCTACAATCTGTATGTTTACATTTTTTTTTCTTGAAATAGAACAGAACTTTACTGAGGTTGTACTAGGTGAGGAATTTCTCAGTATTGGTGCAGAACAGGTGTGCACCTTAATATCCAGTGACAAATTAACAGTAGCATCAGAAGAAAAGGTAAGGTAATGTCTTCCTTATTTAGTCATTATTATATGTAATAATGTAGAGGTGTACAATCTGTTTTAGATGCTAATGTTTAAAATTTGAGTTTGATTGATTGAGCCAGGAAAGCCCTTTTTCCTGCAGCGCGGTTTCAGTCATTGAGGCTGCCGAGGCTGGGACATTTTCAGGAAGAGAAAGAAGAATGACAGTGAATCGGATCAGTGAGAGAGCTTTATTCTTTTTTACCTAATACAAAGAACACCCTGAAGGAAAAAGGATTTGGAGATTGAAGATTGAGAGTAAAAGAAGAGAAGTGGGAATATTTGGGAATATTTTTTTAAAAAAACATTTTATTAGTTTTTTATTTTGAAAACATTAAAACAAGACACAAACACACAACATTTATATACATATGACTTTTCCCTACAGCTACTTCAAAGTGATCCTTTCTTACTATTTACATCTATTGAAACATGTTTTAACTTTGTCTATTAAGCAATTATTTTCCAACATTCTTTATTTCGTCTACATTGTATCTTGATCTTCAACATTTCTTCTCCCCTCTCTCCTTTATTCCTTTCTTATTTTTCCTATTCTCCAACCATTCATACCATGTACACCACACTTTGTAATATTCTGTATCCTCTTTTTCCTTGATTTCTTTTGTTAATTTGTCCATCTCTGCGCACTCTTAAGATTTTCCTAATTAAATCTTCTTCTGATGGTAAGTTTTCCTTCTTCCAATTTTGTGCATAGACTATGCGGGCTGCTGTCAATATATGTAATATTAAATAATATATTTCCTTGGTATAGTTTTCTATGGAGATACTTAGTAGAAACTGCTCAGGTTCTCCCTTTATTGAATTCTGAATTATTTCCTCTATCCACTTTTTAACTTTCGCCCAGAATTTCTTCGCCATTGGGCAGGTCCACCAAAGATGATAATATGTTCCATAGTTACTCTTACATTTCCAGCATTTCGGTGAATTACTAGGGAACATTTTCGCAATTATAACTGGTAGAAAGTGCCATCTATGAAACATTTTCATCTGGTTATTAAAAGAAGGAAAGTATTCCATAAATTAGAGCAATTAAAATTTGATATAATTTGTTTACAAGAAGTACATATTAAAAAACAGAATGAACAATTACTGATACAACCAAAACTTGGAAGAACTTTTCTATCCCTATCACAAAGCAAAAAGAGAGGACTTGTTTTATATATTAAAAATGCAATATCGGTGGAACAAAAATATATAGATGAAGAAGGTAGAATTCTGATGGTGGAAATAATTGATAATAGTATGAAAAATCTTTTAGTAGCAATATATGCTTCAAATGACAATCAAAGTGATTTTTACAGAAAATTACATAATAAAATAATTGAAATGGAATATGATAATATATGTATGATGGGAGATTTCAATGGAATTGTGGATGAAAACTTGAACTATAAAACACATAAAACAATAAGACACAATAGAAAGACATTACCAAAATCTTTTTTCAAGAAGATAGAGGAAATAAATATGAAAGATGTATGAAGGGAGAGAAATGGGAAAAACAGACAATATACTTTTTATTCTGATAGACACTTATCTTGGTCCAGATTAGATATGATATGGACAACAATGAACTTGATGTTGAATATAGAATATGCGGAAATAAATCCTAATTTATGGGCAGACCACAACCTGGTGACAGTTATATGGAAAGGACAAAAAAGAAGATCCAGATGGACTTTAAATAATACAATACTAAAAGAGAAAGATTTTGTGCAGAAAATGGAAAGAGAGTCGGATTTTTTCTTCAAGGAAAATAAGAAAGAAGAAACATCGGCACAAAATCGTTGGGATACAATAAAGGCCTATGACAGAGGTTTAATCATAGATTACATAAGGTAAAGAAAAGTAAAGAAAAGACAAATCTTTAAAATTTTGACTGATGACTATAAAAGAATTGAAAAGGAACTCCAGAAAGGTCCATATAAGAAAGATATTAAAATTGAAATGGACATAGTAAAGCATAAAATGGACCTATTGAAGAAAGAAGATTTAGCCCAAAAAATAAGAAATGCTAAACAGAATTATTTTGAAAATGCAAATAAACCAGGAAGATGGCTAGCATATAAATTGAAAAAAGAAAGAGAATCAAGAAAA